CCTTTGTCTGCCGGGGTCGGCGTGTGCAGGGCGCGGGGCGCGACCCTGGGCGCCGGGGCCCCGGGCCGGAGCCCACCTCCCCGGTCACCGCCCTTTCTGTCCCGCCGGCCCGCGGGATTTCTGCATTTTGGCCTCTTTTAAATGGTAACCCCTCCCCTCCTTCCTCTCCAGGATCCTGCTGGGATTTTCGAGCTGGTGGAAGTGGTTGGAAATGGCACCTACGGACAAGTCTATAAGGTCGGTGCGGGGCGCCTTCTTTGTTTCCCGTGGCGTGGTGAAACTTCTCGTAGGGGGACCAGGGAAGGGGCGGTAAACGCGCCGCCGGCTGCAGGCCACGCCGCTCGGCCGGAGTTGGGAGAGGGGTCTCGCCCTGCAGTCCCTGTGTGTTCAGACATCGAGTTTTATATTCAGACTGGCCTTAAAAGACCTCATTTCCTGGCTTTGAGATAAGGAAATAAGCTACACTCTTAGGCATGCACTTTTCTTCGCAAAATGGAAAAAAGGTTTTTTTGTTTGTTTTTCATAAGACAACCCGAATTCTTTTTTTTTTTTTTTTCTTTTTCAAGTCTGGCCTTCTGAGTTTGTGTGTGAATTAAAATCCAATATAGGCAGGCCTTGCCTGTGATTATCCTGAACCACTCCCTTGGCCTTGAAAATTGCCATCCTGTTTCACCCTGTCGTGTCTGCCAAGTGCTCTAACCTCTCAAACCTGGGACTGCTTTGTAACTCTGGCCGTCGTCCCCTCCGCTGAGGGATACATGTTTTGGGGAAGCAGGGAGGAGTGTGTATTTGGACAGGAGGAGGAGGAAGAATTACAGTGTGGGGATTATAAAATCTGAATTCCAGGAATAACCTGTTTGACAGCTGTGTAATTGGAACAGAAAAGAGGAGAGCTAGGAGTAAAGAGGATGCTCTCCTTTTACACCCACCTCTGGTCTTTCTCCTTTTTAAAAAACATTTTCAGCCCCCTCTCCTCCTAAAAGGGGAAATGAAATGGACAAATCTGGAGACTGTGAGTCCGCAGGGCTGAGTAGCTGACACCTGATGTGACTCAGTGTTGTTCATTTCACCCACCACACCTTCTAGAGACCATGAAAAGAACCGTAGGTAATGGAGGTGCAGGCCTCTGAGATTCAGCACAGCGTTTACAATTCTCCCTGACTTGATTTGTTCCTGATTACTGGACATTTTCTAAAAGTTAGCTGGGGGCGTTTTCTAGCTGAGAGTGGCTATGAGGTTAGGTTAGGAAAAAGTATCTTATGAATCGGGGCTTTGTGGTTGACCATAAAGAATTGTCATTGTCTCATTAAAAGTGGGGGTAGGGGTGGAAGCTGAGTGTAGGCTTTTTCTTAGGCTAAACTGAGAATGGACCCTGTTGACTCTTTTCTGCTTTGTGAATGGGGTTTACCTGTCAGTGGAATCCATCACCCCAGCCCCAAACCCTACTGACTGGTCTGAAGTCTGAACTTGAGTTAATATTCTTAGGAGATCTCAAGTGAATTAGCATGTGTTCTGCTGGTTAACTGTTGATGCTGGGGCTGGGGCCAGGGCCAGATTTTTGAATTTGAAAGGGAGCCCTGTTAACTCAGCCTGCTGGCTCAACTGAATTTGGAAGGCTTTGGAAAATTTTGGAAAATATTGTGTTGCAACTCACTGAGTGGCTGGTAACTGGCTCAAAGACATTCTTCCTAGCCCCAATGTTTGTTTAAACACCAGTCATTTTTTTTCTAACCCAGTTTTTCTGGCCTAATCTAAGTGGTGAGTGTATTCTTCCAAGTGAGTTAGGCCAGAACTTGTTTTGACCTGGTTACATAGTAGTTAGATTGTTTGTGTCTTATTCGGTCAGCCTGGATGTTAAGAGCTGGAAAGTAAGCTAGAAGGCAAGTAGGCTTTTTAAAAATGTTTGTTGGTTTTGAAACTGTAAGAAGAAAGCATGAAATTGGAGTGCATATGAATTGGTTTTAGGAGGCTGGGAACTCTTTTGGACAGGTTAATTGTTAAGTTTTTTTCCTCTCCTTATTTCTTCTTTGGTTCCATCTCCCCTGCCCCCCTAAGCTTTTGAAGTAGATTTGCTGAGTACTGCATTTGGGAAAGATTTGGGGTACCGGTGATGGCAGAGCTTTGAGTGCAAGTCTGCCCAGTGGAGGAGAAATTCTCCAATTATGCAAACCTGAGGAATCAAGAAATCTGCACAAGTTGCATACAATTGAAACAAAGTAGCTCCTGAGATTTTGCTCCTAGCAGTTACATTTTTTAAATCATTATGGTGATTTTCAAATGCATACCCAGAGAAGGTAGATGGCTTAGTCTGACAGTTATCAGCCCAGGACTAACCTTGCCTCTATATTCTTCCTCCTCTGCTTTATCTTAATGAAACCCCAGATGCCATTTTACCCATCAGTGCTTCAGTATGTTTCTTTTTTTGTCTTTTTGGATAAACACAGTCATGATGACACCTAGAAAAATGCTACAGATCCAGTGCTAACATTTTCCTTATTGTCTCACACAGGGTTTTTCTTTTGAAAATTACTGTCACAAGAAGTTTTTCAGTGTTCACAAACTGATGTTGGAAATGTCAGCCTTTTAAAAATTTTATTCTTAATAATTTTTAAAAAAATTAAAAAAGAGTTATAGTCATTCACTGTATATCAATTTAGTATACAAAATGAGTTTTTCCATCCAGAATACATTGTATATTGGCTTAATCAAGGATATTTCCATACATGTTATCATCAACAAGTAATTTTCTATTTCTTGTTTCTTATATACTTTGCTTTATTCCTCCTTGATTCCCTACCTCTCATCCTCTGCCAATTCCTCCCCTTCTCCCACACTGTCTCTAGTATGCACAGTTGTTTTCTATGCCCTTTTTTCCCCACATTTTATTGATCCACTAAAGATCTTCATTTAAAAACTTTAATAGCAAGCACAGCTGATAAATGAAATGTTAGTCTTAGGGGTAGTGAAAACAATAGAGGCAGCATCTCTGTGTTCTTTTCTTTTTAAATGTATGGTTTTTTGAACCATTTACCATTATGCATCGAGATTTGGTTGGCATGATTTGCATATGGTGGCTTAGGGATTAGATTCTGAACAATCAAGCGTTAGTTTATTGGTACTAAACATGTTTTAGTATGAATAGCATCAGATTTTGGAAAATCTTTCCAGTTTATTATTTATTAAAGAAGTTTTTAAAAAACATAATTTCAGGCAAAATACCTGTATACTGAACCTGCCCCACATCTGTGTTTCATTTTCTCCCTGAATATTTCAGCTTTTAGTAACAGAGGTGCTTATTTCCAGGAGACCGTATTTCTTCGAAGTGAAAGAATTGGAAGAGGGAGTTTCCCAAGTTTGGATACAGTCTATAAATACAGTTTATTTGGGGAGAGCTTCTGATTTTTTTCGTCTTTGACAGAAGTGGTAAATGATCTGGAAGAGTTGACCAGGATGCAGCTGTAATTTAAAGGAGTAGAAAAACAGGGTACAGTGTTCAGAAAAACTTATTTTTAGCCTTAGATTTTGGAGGAATGGTAGGGGAGGGTACTCAAGCATTAAAATAAGTAAGTTCTCGTGACTCTCAGTTCACATCCCTGGGTCACACCAGAATATCACACCTCAGTTAAAGAATTGCCTGGTTGCATGAACATGGTGGATTTTAACTGTTTTCATCGGTGGGAAAAGTGATAGAGGGAAATTAATCCCTAGGAAATCAAGTTTGTTTCCATGTTATCTATCTATTTTTTCCAGAGAGCTTGTGCCTGTGCCAGAGAGAGACAAAGAGGGAGCGAGCACCCCCCAATGGGGTGTGGTCACACTGCAGTCCCTTCTCTGTCTCTCTGTGGTTATGATTCTGGGCACCGTGTACTCTGTGTTTTCCAAGTTGGGACTTGAACTGTGCCATCACCCATGTGGCATCCGGATCCCTTAATAACCAGGCCAGGAGCTTTTATTGCTAAGTCCAGTGTTTGACCATTTCTTCGGTTTTTGTTGTGGTAACTGCTTTTTGGCCTGTAGGCCCTTGTACTCTCCAGAGAAGGGGTGGGAAGCACCTCCCGTGGAGGCTCTTGTCACACTGTAGTCCCTCCCCTGTTTCTCCATCTGCCCAGGATTTGGGGCATGCAAGCACACCCACGTGCCCACCCGCCATGTTTTCAGGTCCCCAGGGCTGGCATTGGGACCGAGCTCCTAGTGCAGAGTGCTTAACCACAGTGCAGGGGCAGGCCCTGGACCCTACTCTGGCTTTGTTGTGAGCACGCTGTGGCTGCTGCAGCAGACTATCCCGAAAAGAAGAAACGTGTGTTGAAAGAACTGGACTGCAGGGGTCACAGGGGAGCCTAGTGACGGTAAGGTGGAAGTGAGTTAGAACCCAGCAGGTGTGACAGACGCCTCCAGTCAGGGCTCATGCTGAAGGTGAGGGCCGAGCCTGACTGCCGCTGTCCTTGAAGGAAAGATGCCCTGTAGACCTCCGAGGGTGGGGAGGAGGGTGCCCCAGACCCAGGGAATTCTGTGGTGAGGGGAGCCATCACCCCGAGAGTGCCCCCTGGCTGATGTGCCAGCACGCTCCCCTGGGTTATCAGAGGAAGGCAGGGCGGTAGCCTGTGGCAGAAGGGCTAAGAGTGACCTCTGGGAATCCAGGGCATTTAGGGATGTAGTGGGAATCCCAGGGAGAGATTATCTGGACTTGAGATAATAATCGTTATTTGAGCACTGAGGAGCCACTGCCAGGTTCTGTGGTGGGGCTCCTAGGGAGTAGTAGCCCTGATCGTGGGACTGGGACGGTTGGCCAAGGGCTGTGACCTGGAGGGGACAGGAAGGCTGGCTGGGTAGTGGTGGCAGGGAGGAGGAGAGATCGGGTGGTGCTTGGGGGTTTCTCCTTGCTGTGTTCAACCTGCTGAGTTCTACCTCCTGAGTTCACTCACCCCCCCTTGCCCCCCCACTCCAGGCGCAGGTATGGCCCTTTAAGTGGGCGCACTGCCCCTAGATCAGGCGGGACTCCGGGATTAACTGGGTGAAAGTGCTGAATGAAATGACTTTCCATTGCTGGGTGATAAAGTGTAAATCGTCTGACTTTTACAAATGATTAGTCTGCCATGTTGGAGCAAGCACTTAAAACTTTTTGCGAGGGCTTCGCTACTTGTAACATTCTGAGTGTGGCATCTCCTATTACCTGGAGGGGAAGCCAGGGGAGGCCCAGGAGTTGTGCAGGCTGATGTCTTCACCGGGAGGAGGGCCGT